ATCATAATCCTAATATTGAGAATAGATTTTTATAGCAAATAAGAACCAATTTGCAGTTTTTCGAAGATAATCAACAGTAAAAATAATTTTAATTTTCACTAATTAACAATACTAGAGTTATTAAAATAATACATAATTTTCAAAATATTTTGGATCTATTCTATAGTATTTATAGACATTTGTAATGTACTAATATTTTAATTTTTTTTTTCGATAAATATAAATAACACAATAATTAAATTTTAGTTTAAAAATCAGAGTGAATAAAAATGTGATACTATCTTCTTTATAAGCAATCCTTTTATCATTACTTTTTTTGCCATTTATAAAAAATGTCATATTATAAGATGCATTATCTGTATCCAAGATTTTTTTTTTATTTTAAATGTTATGTGTAAAAGTTTATTAGTTGATTTCTTTAGATTAGATTTACACCTAAACTAATGAAAAAACTTTAAAAAATGTTTAAGATAACTATGGTTTTTTTATAAATATATATATATATATATTTATAACTGAACTATGAGTTTATTATTTATCTTTATATTTTTTATATCATCCTTTACTGAGTTAATCATACTTTTATAAGTCACTTATTATATTTTAAGTATGTTTTGGGCTTAAATATTATTTGTTTTAATTTATTTTAGTAGCACTTGAAACTGTGGTAAATTTACTTTTATTTTTTACATAGTAAAATTATTATCATTATCATTTAGGTGTTAATTAACTTTTGGATATATATCTTATTTAGAATGTATAGAATAAAGTAAACTTCCTATTATCCATTAATTTAGTTTTTGGTTTTTGGTTTTTAATTTTTTCCTTTTACTGTGTACAACAAATTACAATTTTTTTACCATGGATGTACTAGTAAGTACTATATTGGACCATGCGATGCATTAGATGAATCCAGTTGTTTGAAGATACATAGATAGTTGTTTAATGTTAAATATTGAATTTTTTTTTTCATCAATTTAATCAGGTTGATAAATCTAATAAAATACAAGTGCATGATTCATGCGACTCGACAATATTCAATTATATTTATAAAAGCAATAATGTATCGAATTTTAACTATTTATTGTTTTGCTAAATCTAAAGATAAACAAGAAATGTATATATTTCTCATGAATTATACATTATGTGTAGATAAGTAAAGACGGTTTCTATTGCAAAGGGAGTTGTGCAAATTACCCGCGTATTTCTTGCAAAATTAACATACTTGGCTTGTGACATTATATACATGTATGCAATTAAAGTTCAATATTTGTTAAAATTGGATATTTAATTGAAAATTAAAACCATTCCTCTATTGATTTTAGTTAACTATATTTTGTTGTAACTCAAAACATTTTTATCGTAGTATCTAACTTTTTTTTCATTTTACATACTACAAAATAGTATTAAATTCGTTATTCTATTAAAAAAAAATATATATCTTAATTAGTATTAAGCTATTAATAATAGAAATTCACATTATCTTACAGTACACCGAAGTGAACTTACAATAATAAGATATTATAACCTAACAACAGTTATTATTTTATATATATAGTAATTTTAAGTTTAACATACCGTCTTACTAGAAGTAATATAAATTATTTATGGAAAATTCTTAAGTAAAGAGACTGACATACCGTTTCCACTCAAAACAATTTTTGATAATACACAATGATTTATCATTGAATTAAAATTAAACACATCCATTAGTTATTACAGTCACCAACTCATTAAAGAGGTGTATACCCGAAACTTACTATGCATATACAGCTGAGCAACTTCTCTAGTTTTTTTTTTTTTTTTAATGTTTGGTTCTCATTTCCACTCAATAACCAAAAACTTTAAAACAATATCCTTCATTGTGCAAATTATAATGAACACAATGACGGTAATAATCATAAAAACAACTTAGAACTCCCATTAATTACACTTAAATTTCCAATCTTTGTTTTTCAATAAAACCAATTACTATCATGTATATTATTAAAACATATATTTTATAAGATGACAAGTCATAGTAACGAAAACTATTCCATTAAATACTATATATTTTAACCGCTTCACGCTTATGATATTAATATATTTATTTTTATCATATCTTAAATTATCTACTTACATTAATTAGAAGAAATAATTTGGAACTCAACAATTAAAATAATTATAGAATATTATACATAATAGAGTATTAAAATAAATAAAGGTAAATTCCAAACATTTTATTTTGGTAAATTATAATTTCCCAAGAAAATATTCTTTGAGCTAAATTAAATTAATCGATTTACATTAATGAAATGGTCTGATTTTTATGGTAAATACGATGTATATAGTTTCGTTTTTTTTTCTGTCTACAGTATTTAAAATTGTTTATATATTATGTGTAGATAAAGCGAAATGATAGTTATTATGTATAGCTGATTTTGATTAGGATAACTGATTGAAAAAAACAGTTGTCATAATTTTAAAAGTAAATTGCGTGCGAGTTCCCCTTGTCTTCAAACATCAGATTTAATTCATAAGTATAATATAACAGAGGCTTATCGATTTTGTTAGTATCGACTTCACCACTATATGTAATCTAATTACAACTTATATATTTCATCACCTACTAATATATAAGTAAAGTTATTTTACTTAATTCATAACTTATATATTTAAAATTACTCAACTATGTATATATTATATTTAGAAATAATAGCTCAAATATAGGTACTTGCATAAAAATAAAGTATGTATTATAAAAAAACTTTACATACCTAAAAGGCAGATGATACTATACATACACACACACATATATATATATTAAAATATGTCTACAAAATAATACAACCGTTACTGATCATTTAAATGCCTAGGTATTAAAAAAAAAATATATATATATACGATATTAATAATCGTACTGCTATACTTGAGAGTATATTTATAAATAAACTTTTATTATTTTGTATACATTATTAACAATATTCATAAATTGTGTGCAATATTTTAAAATATTACTAAACATTTTATAAAAATAACTACACTAATTATAATTTTATAAGCTAAATCAAAATATTATTTTTGTTTAAAAATGTATTTTTTAAATTTATTCAAAATTTAAATTAATTGTTCTTCTATATTGTTGAATGGCAAAATCAATAGGTACTTATCTATAGCACTACCCGTGCTAACGGAAATTAATGTACCTAAGTATAAAAAAATTTTAGTAGAATTGATTAAACCCCGTATTATACAACTTACTACTTTCTGAATATAACTCCATTACCTATTGAAAGCTACACTACTGTAATATACTTCCGCGTAATTCATAATTCTGATACTATTGCCGTTAAAATGTAAAAAATCTAGTGCTATGCTAAATATGAAGTTGTTCCTCTTAAAACCGGACAAATTAATGAAACATTAAGTATCCTACGTTTAAAAGGTATATTTAATTATGTACTATTATTGACTCGAATAGTACTTCAAGTACATATTTACTTCCATTATAAATATATTATATACAATATAAAACATGCGATTATAATAGTGATTTGCTCGAATAAACCGTAACTTAAAAGTTACAAAAGAGATAACTAGAATTCGAATTTAACTCCAAAACGGTTTAACATATTGTTGACTATACCTTAAATAGTTCATTTGGATCAGAAATGAGCATAGAGTGGACTCACATATATGATCATAACAAAGTTATATCAAGCAACCCTATAAAAGGTTGAGCGCAATTCCATAAAAAATTTTTATGAGCATCTGAAGTTCAAATTTTAATGATATGTAACATTAGAGTGTCCATATATGAGGATTTTTATACTTAATATTTTTTTTTTTTACCTATTTCCAAATTGCTATCACCTTCAATTTTTTTAGCCATCAATATATTTTATTCAAAATACCCATTGTACATTTCACACAATCACAATTATTATGCCTTAAAAGTAATACATTTTTTGAATGTAACATGATGGACACCTATTAAAAAAGAAGTATTGAATTTTCTGGTAAAACGACTTTATTCTGCAAAATATACTAGTTTAGATACGTATTAGGTATTTAACATGCATTGATTTAGGAAATATCAATTTACAGATATACGTTATTGAACAATAATTTGATTTGATTTAATATATTTAGAATATTTTATGTTTATGACTATCGAACCACTATAATATTGAAGTATGTAATAATATCGAGTAAAATGCGATTACTTATTATTGGTACATTTTTCATTAGAAAATTATGTATATTAATTAATTCTATTTTAATGTTATATTGCTGAATAGTGAAAATTGTACAATTATTCATAACTTAGAAAAAAAAAAATTTAACACAATAATAAATGGTCCAGAAAGTTTCATTAAAACGTTCAACAGCCAATTTTATTTTACTCGCATATCAAACTAATATAAATAATAAGTATATTCAATTAAAATGTAAATTTAAGTTGAATAAATGAAGAAAAAAAAAAATCTTAAATTTTAGAGGCAATCCACAAAAATAGTTATATTTAATTTAAAAATATAATCAGAATTCAATTAACGAATGAAAAATTCACAATATTTTGTGGAATTAAATACATACGAGTAATCTTTTAAATATTATATTATGGATTCTAAGAAAATGTTAATTTTTAATTTTTATTTTGAGTCTAACTAATTATATTGTATAAATACTTAACAATTTTAAATTAAAATCATTTTTTCTATAATTCAACAACTAACTTTTAAATTATTGTACAACGAATTCAATTATTAATAACATTTTAGTATTTTTCTGAAGCTAAAAAAAAAACTAATCATGTAGTGTTGTTTTAAAAATTAGCATAATTAAATTTGGTACGCTAATTTGTTATATTTAAGAGATTCCTTTAAACTCGTAATATAAACCTAAGAATGTTTCTAATAATACTAATTGTTTATAACAGGTTGACCCATAAATAATAAATAATATTATAATTATAGTTATATTTTTACTTATAAATACTATTATTTATTTATTTTTAGAGGTACCAGTGGAATTGATATTGATTTGAGAAGAGTTGATATTGATCAGTGCCCTTTGCCACCGGGAAGTAATCATTTCAATATTTTCGCTTCATCTGACAAGTGTAAAAAAGAAACTACTTACGTAAGTTATCATATTATATTGCAATGAACGTTTATTATTCTATTTGTTTTAAATTATTTTTGTCATGATATTTATTAAGTTGTAATTATAAATCTAAATTATTTGTTTGACTCACGACCGTTTAAACTTAAAACAAATAATCATAATAACGTAATATGATATGGTTTAATTTAAATGAGGAAATATAAAAATAAATGATAAAAAAAAAAAAAAAACTTTTAAAACTTTTATTGTATATAATATAATAGACGTATAATAATAAGACACATATAAGTAACTTTTAATTTATTTTTAAATTTACGTCGGAGTATCAATGTATTTAAATTTTTCATTTTTCATTTAAACATGTGTTTCTGAAATCGTCATTTTAACTTTAATTGGTTGTTACCTACTTATTTATTTTTTTTTATTTTTAATTTAATAAATTGTCTGATGTTAGTTTTATACATATATATATAATATATATATATATATATATATACAAAATGTTTTGTTCTATTTGTTAAAATGACATTAACAATAATTAAGATACTTCCGTTATTTTCAATTTTTGTTTTTATTTAATATATCTAATCACAATGGACCTTATAATTTAACTCACCTCTCACTAGTCCCACTTAATTTCGATAAAATATTTTTGGTAAAAATTATTAGTCGGTTTAATACATCCAATTTATGTATATATTTACTCAGAGTAAACAAACTATTAAACCTTATCACTGTTATTGTATAACTAATACTATTTTATTGTTTCCAAAATATATTTAAAGATTGTTTTATTCAAAAAATGTATTAAATAAATGATTTTAAGTCTTACAATCACTTTTAATTATTATTATTTGTTAACAAACAATTATATATATTATACATGTAAACTCTAATACAAGCTTATATAACTTTTTTTATTCAAGTTTAGGATATTTCTGATGAAAACATGAATAATAAATGCTATAAGTTTCATATTAATAATTTGTAGAATTTTTTTGTTTAATAATAAGTAAAATGTATAATATTTGATAATAATAAATTATTGAAATTTTAAGTAAGACATACAAGGAAAAGTTATTTTTTGAATTATCTAACTGAATGTAATCGAAATAGTTTTTTGAATGTAAAAATTCGTCATGTTGAATTAAAACCCAAACCAATATTTTAAAATCACATTCCACTAATCTTGAAATAAGCGGAAGATAAATATTCAACATTCTGCAGTAAAAATGTTAATTCATTTTGTTTGAAGTATATAAGGATACGCCAGAATACATTTATCATATCATTGTAACTTCATCAGGAAGAAAAAAGATTAAAACTATGTAATGTACCAAACAACTTTGAAAAATCAGAAACCTTATCTTCAAAATACATTTTCTCTAAGCGTAAAAACTTACTGATAACAATCAAATATATTTGAGGAAATTTCAAAAATTTATATTTTTAATTCAATATAATGTATACCTACATATTATTATTTTATAACTTTCAAATTTAATATTGCATATAGCTAACACTATTATATAGCTGTATAACTTAATTGGTGAAATGATTTTATCACCCAATTCTTTGTTCTTTTAACCTACGGAATTCTAAGTCTATAGCGAGATTATTTTTCACACACATTACATTAAATCAAATGTAAATTTTACTAACATAAAATAAAATAGCATTTAAAAGTTACTAAATAATAGTTCCAAAGTTGTTTGCATGCATTATTTAAATTCTTTGTGTCTTGACTTTTAGGTGTTACGATTTTTTTTTTTTTTTTTGTTATTATTCATCAATAATCAATAACTTTGAGTATACTTATAACAATATTATAATATTATTTATTATTTGTTAAAAATAATTTTATAAATTCTTATAAGTTTTCTTATTTAGGATCGGCAACTAAGGTCATTAGCTATGGATAGGACAGTATATTTTTTGTGTAAAGTTAGTTTGTTAAGTTTAGTTAGTACGGTTGGAACACGTGTGTGTATGTGTGTGCGTCATGGATTCGTTACTAAGAACTCGGGTGGTCACCCATCCTAGAGTTAGCGACGCCGGCCGATGCTTAACCACAAAACACATTAGTGATGAGGCCAACCACCACCCCACACCAAGTCACCTAATATATTATTGTACTTTATTTAAAGCTGCTTTTAAAAATAATAAGACCTATATTATGACATAACTCACTGTTAACAACTGATTATTATAGTTAATACCATTAAGTGTATTAATAGTATCTAGATTCAGTTATAACAATATTACCTATACTAATTACTATACGCAAAATAATTTAATTTTATACAATTCATTCATATTTAAAATCAAATTAATCACTAAAATAAAAATATAATATAACATGTTAACCTAATTGATGAATATGCATTTCTAGTTTGTTTATGGCTTAAATATTGTACACTTAAAATATTATTATTTTTAGAAATGAGAAACTATGCGTTTAAATACACATCGATTTAATGAAAATCGGAAGCACTAAACTATAGATGTGTTTGTCATGTATATCTGTGTGTGCGTGTGAGTGTCCTCAGATTTTTACAGTTTCTTATTTTTCTACGTATTTATTGGCTTAGCTACATAGTCGTTCTTTATCATTTCACTATTTGCGTTATTAGTTGAAAAATGACAGATAACAGATAATTTTTTCGTCAATGTTTTTTTTTTTATTATTCAAAAATTTTCTGAATTCAGTAGTGATAAGAACTGTTAAATTTATCAAATTTTTTTTGAAAAATATTAAAAGACATTTTGTTACCTTTTAAATATGTTTTATTTACCCTTATCTTTGCCAAATAAATGTTTTCTTAAATTCATCTTTTATTTGTCTTTTCAAAAATTGTAATTACTTATTAATATATTTTTGATACATTTACAGCAATTTTATAAACTACGAAAACAATTTATTTTAAATGTATCTGAAAACATAAAATACCAACTAGCTAGTTAGCTATACATTAGTTTAGTACATAAAACTAAGGCACTAGTTTACATAACTAACATATTATACAAAACATGTATAATGCATGGCATTAAAATATTTATACCGGATAACTAATTTAACTCGATTCAGTTGATTTAAACAATTATTATTCAACTGTATACCACTGTATTATTTAAAAAAAAGTTTTAAATTTATACTCCGTATATTTAATTTTAATTTTTTTAAATTGAATAAAATTAAAGGTTCGTGAGGGGACAACCGTTAGTTATGGAAGCGAAGCCCTTGGGGGTTAGAACAAGCCTCTGGGAGGCTTTGAGCTCAGATAGTTTGTTATTAAAGTGAGCTAAGGGCAAAACCATTAGTTTTTGTAATAGTTAAATAATTATTGTAACATAAACATATATACTCTATGTTAAGAATTCTATGTACATTAAAAATAGATGATACTCCACAAAATTGTGCAAGTATTTTTTTGACGAATTAACATTATTTTAGTCCAATATTTTACAGGAAATTTCATTAATATATTTTTTTGTTTAGACATTAATATCAAATAATATACTTACAAATACTACTCTCTTGAATAATTTATATTATATTAACATATATAACCACAAGTTTTATTAAAACATTACTTAATAGTTATTAAAAAATAATTTACACACTAGTAATGCTGTACTCAGCATTTCCAAAATACAACTTCAAGCTTGGGAGCTATATATTTATATGTGTCAATAAATTCAAATTTTTAGTTTAACATAAGTTCAGAATCATTATATTGTGAATCTAAAAGTTAGTTTCAGAATATTTAAAGTTAGACATAAGAATCAGAGCATTTTACTATGATAAATATATATACCTCAGGGGAATGTATTTGGTTCCGATATACTCTTTCTTTATAATTTTTAGGTACCGATTTTTATGTACTCAGTGAATATATTATGTTTTTTTTAGTTTATTTATGTATACCGCAATATAGTGACACTTCAAAACATCATGTTCAAATAACAATACCCTCAAAATTCAGTAGTTAAGTAAAATATTACTTAATGATGAGTATTTAATTCATCTTAAAATAATTATCATGTTAAATCCAAAAATGTTCTTGTACAATGCATTCTATAAATTTATTAAAAAATATATTTTCATGACAGTGGTACTGATTATATATATAAACAAAATAGTTATTAGTTAATTTATTGTTATTATTATTTAAAAAAAATAAAAATATTAAAAGAATAATATTTTACTTGATTTCTTATAAATCACTTATATTAGTATTATATGTGAATATCATGAACATTATAATAATTATTATTTATTTAAAATTAATACATAAGTATATTAGTTGTGGTTAAAACTCTGAATTGATTAAATATCATACATTTTCAGGAAAATTAGGTAATATTAACTTACAATGTTTTTAAAAATGATGATTTTTATTTTTTTACTGATAAGTTATTTCCTTAACCATCACATGATAGCTTGCAGTAACGGTTTCTGGAAATAAACTTGGAAGAAGCATATTTTTTTTTTTTTTTGATTTTTAATTTAGGGAGATTTTCTCTAAATTGAATTGAAATCAATTAATTTAAGTTATCGATAGTTGTCGATAGAAATTGATCCGTTAGAATTTGAATTACTTTTGGATTGTATGTGTCATTTTATCGAATTATTAGTGATTCGTGATAAATTATAGACTATATATCGATGGATTGTGACATAATTGAGTATATTAAGTTTAATACCTATTATATAAGACATGTTACCAGCAATTATTAGATATTATGTATTGTGAGTAAAAAATAATATATTTCAACGAAATTAATACTCTATACGTATAACTACTTCAGGAAAATTGTAATATATAATAAATTATCAACAGATAGAGCTGGATAATTCTTATGATGTGAATTAAAAAAAAAGTACAATTACGTAATATGTTATAGTAAAAATACAAAAAAAGCGTAATAGTACATATTACACACAATGCAGACTATAGTCATAACATGATCGAACACCGAGTTTCCAAATAATACATTTTTAAATAAGTGTCAAAAATATTGTGTGTTTAAATAGGTAAATATTTCGAATAGTTTCACTGATTAGTAATTATTTAAAACCATTCTTAGGTTATAATCAAAGCTACTGTACCTACTAGTTTTGCAAATGTTTTAATTTTATTTTCGTTTTTTTTAAATATTTATTTAAATGGTTTTATTAATATTATAATGATTAATAATTATTATTACATACTTCTGTGTATTTACAATGTTCATAAAGAATTTTAAAATTAATTTTTTTTAAATTTCAAGAATTTTGTGTTTCACAAATAGTTGTTTTAAATTTTAATTTAAAATATTTAAATTTATTTTTAATAAGACTTATTGCATGAAAGCAATTGTTTATTTGATAACGTTTAACAATTTAGTAATTTGATTACTAATGGCTGCCATAAACGGTCTTTTTTTTACAATTGTTTGCATATATTTCCAATATTTACTTTCATGGAATTCAAAACTTTCTTACGTGTTTCATGTAATTAGAATAAAAATTAATTTATATTAATTATTAATTCACTATGGTTGTTATTAAACCATTTAATTTAATATGCCATATTAGAGCAACACAACAATACATAAATAGTACTATCCAATAATATCCTATTTAATACCGACGAGCAAAATATATTGGTGTAGGAACTTAGATATAAACTAAATCAGATGATCTAAACTATCTAACTATAGCCTGTTGATGGGATTTGAGCTTTAACAGCAATCATAATGGTAAGAGTTGCGTATCAATAAACCGTTTCCTTAAAAAAAAAAAAAATAACTTTTCTTAATTTTGGGATCTTGTGTTGGAGACCTAAGTTGAGTGCCACTTTTTCGATCACTTTACCTCACATGTATAAAATTGAAATACATATAATTTAAAATATAAACATTTTATAAAACCGTGATTACAGTGATCACATAGATCATAGAACAATCACCGCTGAAGAATCTCTTTTTTACTTCTCATATTTTTTATATAACTATTATCATAGATTAACCTAGTTTCATATGTTGATATACTAAACTATTATTAACCAACTAATATTTACTGACTAAAACTTATTATTTATTATTAAACGTACTGGTATATAATGCGCATAGTTAAATAATCATATATCGAGCACGGTATTCATTGGATAAATATTATCAATATTATAAATAAAAAAAATGTAATGCCTCAATTTTTTATAATATATTCCAGACTTAAAACATTACACATAACATTCAAGCGTATGCAATTTCCAAGACAAATTTTAATTCTTTAAGGTTTCTAATACGTAGTTAATAGACCGAAACTTATTCAGTTTTTAGAGTTTTTTGTATTTATAAAAATTAACTTTTTAATACTAACTAGTGAATCAGTATGTATACTTTTGCAGACAATTTCACTTGAAACCAAAAAATGTAAATACTATATGATAAAATATATTTGATATAGTATTCTTTCATTTATATGATATAAATTATTGATTAATAATGAATTATGGTTTTGGTTAAAAATATTTGTAGCATACACTTAATTTACTATATTAATTAAGACATATAATTGTATTACGTTAAAAGAAATAGTTCAGTATATGAACAAATTGTTAATTTTAAACATTAATTGTTCACACCATCAATAACTGATACGGTTATATCATTATTGTACATTATTATGTTTATCGAATTGTTTTCTTTTTTTTTTCTTTTCTTTTTAGTGTGTACCTATTTCGGGTTTGGGGTTTCGAAGAGGCAGTTATAAGTGTATGTGCCGTCGAGGTTATTATTTTCCCGCACCCAAATACGTAGGTCATCCCGGAACTCGGTATTTCAATGGAGTCATTATTGAAGAAGAATATGAAAAACTAATGCAGGTACGTATTTAATAAATATTGCATGTATTTGAATGTATATAGACACAGTATATCACACATGTATAATATTTAATAATAATATTTCATATGTTTATGTAATTTCACCTTTAAATTCTAATCTTTTTCGTATAATTGATGAACTTATTTTTTTTTACATCACGTATCTACAAAATATCGATAATATTTTATGAAATAAATTCAGAAATTTAGTATAAAAAAACTCGTTCTATTATCTCAAGAAAAATGTATATACACAGATACATATTAAAATTAATAAGAAAAATAGAATTTAAATTATCACTATTAGACTTTATACATTTTAACTAAAAAGTAAAAATAATTTACAAAAACAATTATACATTTTAGTTAACTATTCAATAAATACCTATAATGAATAAATAAATAAATGCATGAATAATAAATAGAAATTAAAAACAAGCAATATAAATTTTGCAGGACCATAAAATGCAATCAATCACTACAAATTATTAAAATAAAAAAAAATATTCTATTCATAAAATTTAAAATTTAAAATATATAATTTCATTATTTGTCTGAGTAATTTACCGGCCTTAAAAAAACTATATTATTTTATTGAAAAAAGTAATATAATCTGTGCTCAAAAAGAACGTCATATTAAAAGAATTACTATTAATGTGTAAAAAAAAAAATCCATAAATTATCTAACTAAATGCATGTGTTGTTGATTCTTATGTTTCAATTATTACCTATTACTTTTTTACTTATAATACATTTGGAATTTTAATTCATAATTTATTTAAATAAATAGTTTTAAACTATAGTTAAATCGTCTTAAATGATTTAACAATGATAATAGAACAAGTATCGTATTACCTAAAATATCTGTATCAGTTTCATGAAGTTATGAATATTATGTAATTAAAATGTATATATAGTTAACAAAGTTACCTTTCGTGTTTTTTTTTTTTCTATTGGTTATTTTGCTTCAATATCAAACATTATTATCATTCTATTATTATGTATTGAGTTTAAATTTTTCATAATTTTTGATCATCAAAACGTCAAATGTATTCCATAAATGCGATTAATTTCAAAGTGATTATTTCAATTTTCTGTTCTTATTTTATCAAACCTAACAAAGTTAATAAAACAATATTTATCTTAACGTTTTGTCTTAACTGATGGCATCAAAACTATATTTTAAAACAAAGCCTTTTGTATTTTGAAATAGCAACAAAATTGTTCACTATGTGTGATTTCCGCAACATTTAAAACATAATAATATATGTATTTAAAATAAATACGGATTTGAGCTCGTGGGAAATATTAATACTATATATCAAAATATTTAATGCAATTTATTCAATAATATTATACAACAATACGAAACGAGTGATATTTTATGTTTTTGTTTCGGGATCTACCTACCTTTATAATATTATTATTTTATCGACGATAATATAGTTCTAAAGTTGTAGTTATATTCGTTAACAAAACGCGCTTAGATTAAAAGCGTACTTTTTTATTTGTATTTATCAACAGGGAAAACCAAACAACTACAGCCAAAATAGCATGTTTGAGTGTTTGCAATGTGCTGAAGGATGCGACGAGTGCATTGACTCCAGTCCTTGCATAGCGTCCTTAAACTGGGTACTTCGTTCAATCATACTAGTGCTCTCTCTGGTGATTATAGGGTGCCTTCCGCTGGTCGTGTTCTTCACCTGGAAATACGGACATCTAAAAGTAATCGAGTGCACTGATACATCATATAATGACTTAGTGTTGTTATTATTATTTATTTATTTATGGACCAATATGTGTTGAATGTTTAAATATTTGTAATAACTGAAACATTCTTATTAATAGAAACATAAATACTAAAATACTATGCTGGAAACCTTTTTATCACAAAAATACAATATTTATATTTATACTATAATATAGAACGAAAACAAAACAAAGAAACATTTATACATAAACATATTTAAATTTATACAAATGGAATACATTTTAATGTTAATAAATTAAATACACGTAGATTGAAGAAGGAAATTGGAAGAAATATTGGAATAATAATAATGTAATTTCTTATGCTTATCATTTAAACTATTAAAACTGTTTTCAAATTTATAATGTACGATTGTTATTGTTATACGATATTAAGATCATATATTAGTTTATTATAATGTATAAAAAGAGGCTCCTTTACGTTTATAATAGAATAAAAGATAAAGTAAGGATTATAAAGAAAGATAATGGTTACTAAAATAAATATTTTTTACTAAAATCCAAAAACCATAAAATAAGTTATTTTGTTATACTTTCTTAAAAAATATTATTCACATGGATTTAAAACTTCTATTTATATTAATTTATTTTGGTATACACAGTAACATTTTCAAAGTATTTAGATTAATTTAAACTACTTTTTATTCATACCACTAACGTGTTTACACATCATATCATTCTAAATTATTAGGTGCTAATTTAGAAGTTAACATCAATTTTAACATAGTTATCCTTTTTATAATAATTATTTACACAATAAATGGAAAAAAAATTAATTTTACCAACAGTATTATTAATAGTTAAATATATTATAAAAATATACTTAGTTATATAGGCTGACTTACCATTTCCGTTCAAAACCATATTTTCTATAGATTTATTTATTATTGCATTAAAGATTAACACTTCTATTACAATGACTTATTTAATAACAGTTTTATCACTGAGATTATTGTTTCTAACTTGAGAAATAATATGTTTCTTAGATCAATTTTTACGATTTTGATTTATTCTAATAAAATGTTTTATTTAAATAAACAACTTAATATTGACTGTTTAAATATTAATAAGAAAAACTTGTGGGATGCACAATAAAGTACACCTCGGTCTCAAGATTATAATTTATACATTTATTGGATTCTATGTATAACATGTTATTTTTGTAAGTTAATCAACAATATGATTTGTAATCATGCAAAATAGATTAATAGCTTAGATTAGTCTTTAGTTAAGTGTATGATAAATGTGTAATAGAAAAATAAAGTTCAATTAATGTATAAAATATTAAAATACTTAAAATACTTCATGATTTTTCGTTACTTATTATCGCTTGGTTTATGAATACTCACAAAAAAAAAAAGTATCATTAGTTCCTTAAAATATATTTGTCGATTTAGTTTTTTACAAACACAAATCAATCAATAAAGTTATAAATTTAAAAGTTCTTAAATGTTTTTAAACTGAAATTATTTGACAAACATTTCATTCGTTTTATCTATCAAAACTGAAGATAATACACCAAAACTGACGATGGAAGTGTTTTGTTTATAATGATAAATTATTGTATGCTCAAAGTTACATTTCTATATTCTTTGGAATTTTTCCATCTAATATAAGACATAATAATATAATGTTATATACTAAAAATTACAACATGTATAGTCATTATTTTAAAATTGTGTATCTAAAAATATGCATTATTAAGTTAAGGGCAACTATCAATTATTATTACCCATCACACTGTAATAATAATTATTTATACATTACTTTTTGAAATTGAAAGGAAATCGATAAATCATCATAATAAAATTATTATAAATTATTCATATTTAAACGGTTTTATTAATTATTATTAAATTTATAAGCAAGTTTTTTTTTTTTTTAATATAACATATATATATTATTATTTTTTAATAGCAAATTGCTATTAATATAAATATTTAATAAGCTTAGTAAAATTTCAACTAAACGTCTGACTATAAAATAGATAAAATGCACATATTAATAAATAAAATAAATAATTGAGGTCTAAAAAGTTGTCTTTAAAGAAAAAAACAGCTAATTATTCATTAGTTCAAAATAAATGAAAAATACAACTTTTGGGAAGGTATATTTTTATTTTCAAAATATTTGTTATCGTTTATATTTTATTAAACTTTAAAACAAGTCATTGTTTTCTAACAAAGGAAATATAAAAATCAAAACTTATTATGGTCTATGAATAAATTTATAAGTGAAATATTATTACTGATGAATAATTTTGAATAAAATAAATTATAGCTCAATAGTTATATAGTTGTATGATTAAAATATGTTATATTAAATATAATATATAAACAACACTTAGTGTATTTAAGAGTATTTGAACTAATATTTATAAAAAAATAAATAAAAATAAAATCGTAGTACCCATAATCTAAACGAATATATTTTTAGATACATATTTTCTGAATTAAATATAAATATGTAATAAATAATAATTTATAATATTATATAGCTCGCCAATAATACAACAAAATCACAATATAAAATGAAAACAACCATATCTTAAAATACATTGTACATAGTTTTTATTGATACAAAAATAATTTAATCATTATTTATTCATAAAAATGTTGACTATTTTAAAGTTGTGTTTAATTTTTCATAATATACCAGGTACGTTTCTGATGTAAAAGAAGCTTGATCATTGTGTAAATAACAACAATTTTTAACATTAAAATCCTTTTTCTATACGATTATTTTAATACAATAGTAACCATATTATTTATTTATTATAAACTTGGATATTTGGATAATAAATCGTTGCTAATAATACAATGCTTATATTATTTTCAATATTATAGGTTGTTCGAGCAGCTAGTCCTGCACTTCTAAGAGTTATTGCTCTTGGAGCGTTTTTCATCTATGCTACGGTAAGTCATAAGTCATAACAATTTAGTTACATCGTTCACAATAATCAGTCTACATTAAATAAATTGGATTATACGATAAATAAAATATATCAGTACAAATTTAAATAAATCATTCCTTACAACTTTAATTTTATAATAATTATTACTACATACATTTTATAGATGATTGTGATGTATCCAAAACCAAATATGATAACTTGTATTGCTCGTGTTTGGCTTCGAGAAATTGGATTTTCACTCACCTATGGAGCTTTAATGCTTAAGACATGGAGGTAAGTTAAATAGTGTTTCAAAAACAACTTAAATTATGTTATGGATAGCTAAAAATTAGTACATAATTATAATATAATAGTTTTTAAACACATTTAATTTGTAATATATATATATATATATGTGTGTGTGTGTGTGTTACGGTAAATTATGTTAAATGGATATTAACGTTATTCACCGGTTATTAACATTATTTACCAAATACATAGATAATTGATGTTATAAATCAGATATGCGCATGAATCTCAAATACTACAATTTGAAAAATTATGTAGGTAGGTACCCAGGTATTTTTAAAAATAGAAAAAAATGCATTATTATTTTTTATTTATTTTTACAAGTTTTACTCCCATGACATTTAATATAACATAATTTTTCAGTCCCAAGGTAGGCATAATGCTTATTATTATTACAACTAGTCTTGCAATGACATCTCTGGTACCTTTGAGGGCCCGCAACCGAATTATTACTAGCTATTTCCCTCAGTGTCAACTGTCTACCATCTGCTTATTTTATCACATTGTCTATGTCTAATAGATTTTATTAGCAAATAGCTATTTCTTGGCATGTGAAATAGGATTTAAAAAAACTATATTCCGTATCTATAAAATAATAAAACAAATTTTAATTGTATTAGTATATTTTTTCATTAATAATTAATTTACAGAGTTTGTATAAGTCATGTTCAACTTAGGTGACAACTGCTAGTATATTTTGCATAGAATCACGAGCCCTATCAACGTTCAGTATAAATTATAAATACACATAAAGTTATGCCTATTTCAAGCTGAGGAAACTTATCTTTAGAAAGTTTCATCATTTCCTCTCCTTGTTTTTCTAATTTTTTTTTTTTTTTTTTGATTATTTACATGCAATACAAATATTTTCTTGACAATCATCAAAAAAATATTTAAAATAATTTTTAAATATTTATATTTTAGTTTTATTTGTGTTATATTTAAAATTCCAAAAATTATCGTTAAATAATTAAAAATTATTTAAGTACCAAGTTCCGATTTTTTTTCTGTGATTTCTATGATTTAATTTCCGATTTTGTCTTCTTTGGTGATTGGTTCTTTGGTTATATTTTTAAATCTTCCGCAATGACCTCTTTTATTTTATAATCAGATCAAAATTTCCCAAATTATACGGTTATTAACGTTATTCACTAGAAAATAATGATAATTCCCACATTCGTAAGTAAATAACGTTAATAACTGGTGAATAATATATAACATCATTTTCTGTAATATATATATATATATATATACATATATTAAAACGAATTTAATACAGAATCAAATTTTTCATATTTCATATTTATAGATTGATCGCCTACAAATTAAAACTTTAAGTATATATTATTTATAATTTAAAAAAATGTATTACAATTATTAATATGATAAATAATAATATTATATAATATAATATAGAAAATTTAATTAAAATTAATGTTCATATTGTGCTGTTATGTATCAGTTAAGCAAAATTATAAGCTCAAGAATATGATAACTAGTGTAGGTAAAATTGTTTCATAAATTGTTTAAATAATGATTTAATTATATTTAAACATGAAATGTATTTAGCGTACAGACTCATAGGTCTCATGCTATTTTTTATTCTACATTTTTAATTTTATATAAACGTATGAAAGTATTTATTTATCTATCATTATAAACATCTTATTGAGTAAAATTACAAATATTTTATAATTTCAAATCATATAAATTAAATTAACAACATAATTTCAAGTATAATTTATATAATTTAAATTTAATAAAAAATATTTGTAATATATTAAAATTATATTAATCTATTAATAATTCTCATTAAATTATATAAAATATTTAATTACCAAAATCACAGTTTTCGACTTAGTTGTAGAAAGCCAACATAATATGATTTATAAGACTATTAATATATATATATAATTTATTGTTTTAAATTGTATAGAAAGTAGCAGAGGTACTTTTATTAAAAGACGGGACTTAACACTTGATTTTTTCTGATAATTCCAGTATATCAAATATTCTAATTATAAATTTACATAATATAAATCTAATATCAGCCATTATGCACCTATTTTATAGTGACTCAACTCCACAAAAAATATCAACTTCACTAAAAGAACAATTTGAAACCTATTTTATTACTTAATAGAAATTTACGATATTCTATGGGAACTTTTATTAAAGTTTAATATTATATATGATTTTCAAAGTTTGAATAAGAAACAATCTACATACATAAAGTGTAAGTTCACAGGTAGATTCGTTTTTATGTTTTTGAGAATTTTGTAAATCGTTAAGTTTTACCTAAAAGTTATTTTTAATAAAATGTCTAAATCATACAACTTAGTACCTGCATCTTTTAAACTTAATATCAAGAATTATTAAAAACATGTACTTAAATATATATTATTATTATATATACATACTCAAATAAATAAATAAATATTGTTTAAAATAGAATATTAAAATGTATTATTATTTATTTAAATAATTTTAAAATTAGCATAAAATACCAGTTTGAGAACTTTTAAGGTTTTGAATTGATTATATTATATTTTTACATTAATGACATTAATTACTTTGAAATATTATTTTACTCTGGATATTATATTATAAGTTAATTTACTGAGATAACTGTATTTTTGATCACAAATGTGGTTAATTAATAAAAATATAACTGTTATAGCCTTCATATTATATATATATGCG